GGGCAGGACAGGGACTATTTTATGTGGGTTTGGACAGTCAGTTTACAGTCCATGCAGAAAAGTATGTAAGCCAGAAAAGACCACTATAATCTCGCTGGTCGTTTGCAAGAACACCTCTTATAATCTTGTTGTTTTAAGTCGATAAAGATTGAGGCTTAACTTCCAACTTAACTCGCTTCATTTTTTAAAAACACACCCAGTTGTTACGAGACGATTTGCTATTTTTTGCCAGTACACGTAGCCATAATGGCGTGGTTTTGCTGTCTACACTGCTGGGTTAATTGCCAATACAAGCAAACCTGCGACTTCGAGGAAGTACAGTAGATTCCCTATCTCATGAAATGTCACCCGGAATTCTAAAATGAGTTTTTGATTGGAACATATTAATTGCGGCTGCTTTACTTTCTTTTTTATTGGGCATCTGTCACGCATTAATCCTTTAACCACGAATTCCGCAAGACACTTGGACGGGGGGGACTTTTACCTTTGGGTGCCCTTACGATAAATTCGTACCCATTTCCCTTATTACCGAATCAACAGCATTTGTGGGTGCATACTTTTGGAGGTATCGCAACGGTGTGAAGCAGCAGAATTCTCACGATGAAAGCAGTGGACTCATTGCACATGGAACTGCCACAATACATGGACTCGGCAGCCAGGCAAACTTGGCGTCAGAAAGCTAATTTAAAATGTTGGTGGGAGAAGAGAAGTTAACGTCTATAAGTTCGACCGCCTTCTCTCGGACTGCTTCAGCTTTCTTGAAAAGATTAAATAACTCTTTCCCCCCTCTTCTGCGATCTTTGATGTTATTTTCATGAAAGATTTGAAAACTTAGATTAATTTAATCAAAAGGGGTCTGACTTACACGTTTTTGTTGTCAAAATGTGACTTTCCATCAGCTGTCACTTAAGTACGATGAAATCAATAAACGGCGTATTATGCAATAGCAAAGTCCGTAATTACATCATGACCTTCATCTTTTTCAAGCGATCGGCTGATGAAATTAGGAAACTCATCTTGTGTTTGAGAGCATAAGCTTAAATTTAGTTTGTTAATCTGAGTGTAAAGTTTGCATGATAGCCTGCAAAATAGCGTTTGCGGTTATATATTTTTAAATTCCACGTCGGATTTTGGTTGTCTAACGATTTATAGTGCTAAGTAAAATGTAAAAAAATCCGAAATACCCATAAAATCGGTTGAGTAAGGACCTTTTTGAAATAATATTGCCAGAGCGTTAACAGTAACTAGGTATAGCACTCCTTCAGACGTTTTACTCGTCTGTCTTATTAGGGAGTACGCTATAAATGGTTGAAATCCAACTGATATTTGCATACAAAATGGGTATTCACTAAGATCTATGCGTATGGTGTTTTTTCGAAACGAGAAACGTCCATAGCCCAGTTCAAGATAACTGCACATTTCAAGGAAATTGTCTGCTCTGAAGAAGGCGCCTTCTCAAGACAAATTGGTGAAGGCAAACAGCTGGCTGAGAATTTTCCATTTTTACTCCACGTATCGAGACCCCTTGTTTCCTCACCCCTAGGTTTAATACGCGAAATAATTACAGTTCCGAGGGTCTGGAAAAGGTATGGTTAGACTACCAAATGGCACTGTGTTTTTTCTGTGATGAGCAATACGAGCAAGCAAAGGAGAAGGTCACGTCTTTTCTAAAAAATGCTCGCGACCAAGGGCTCACAGAATGGGAGTTCAACGGTGAACTGCTTTTGGCAGCCCTATTTTGTAAGTTTACAATTTTTGTGAAAAATACGTTTTTGCAGTACGCGCCAGAATTCGTTCAACATGCCGACATATGCGAAAGACTGATACTCTTTCGCTAATCGGCATTGACTCCGGTTGTGATATTGATTATCGTGTAGTCTATTCTGAAGTGATTTCAGTCATTGTGGGTTGTCAGCTTTTTAACGAACTTCCTTCTGACCGGTAAAAAAACGTCTGTACTGTAAAAAGTGACTACTTAAATCGTATGAGCTTTTATCATTGATTTTGACTGCCGTTATAAATTCAAATATATTTAATGGA